CATCACCCCATTGACGGGCAACGTATACTCATACGGCAAACAAGTCTATAAACCAATGGGCAACGTATACTCAAACGGCATACCTCCACGTGGTGCACCCTGGGCAACGTGTACTTACAACCTCCATGTGGTGCACCCTGGGCAACGTATACTTATGCGGAAAAAAGTCTATTGACTGGTACTTCAAACTGCCCACGTGGTGCACCCTGGGCAACGTATATTCATACGGCAAAAACGTGGTGCACCCTGGGCAACGCATACTCATACGGCAAAATAAGTCTAATGATCGGTGACTTCAAACTACTATGGCACGACTATTTGTCATATTCGGCCCCATCCACAGATTATACGGCAAAAAAGTCTATTGATCGCCAGTTGACTTCTCGAATTCAAACTACTATGGCCCGACTATTTGTCATATTCGACCCCTTCACAGTACTCATCTTACTACTACGTGGTGCACCCTGGGCAACGTATCCACATATGGCAAAAGGGTAATCGGCAGTTGACTTCTGACTTCAAACTACCAAGACCCCACCGCATTTCATATTCTGCTAATTCCACAGTACTCACCTTTTTCTACCTTTGTGTTTGTCTGTCTCTTTTACGTCTGTAAATTACTCTTCTGTCCCCCTTCTCGACTTTTTGCCACTTTGGTGTTCCTCTTCCTTTCTGCGAAGCACAAAGTCAACTAAGGGCTAATAATACCTATCGTAAAGCCTGCCATTTGAAATAAATAAATATATTTAATGAAATACAAGTGAGAAATACGAATGTTCGATTCCCACAATTTCAATTAACTTCAGCAATTCATAGCATAATAATGGCCGAGTGCAAATGTTCATTCTTTTTTCATTTTTTATTCGACAAAGTTTTAAGATCGACATATTTGATTACCAGTAATTATTTACACAACAAACAAGGCATGTCAAAATTTATTCAGATGCAATTGTTTAAATAATATTTTTGGTTTTCACAGGAGACGTAGACGTTTCATCAAATGGTTGTTAACAGCAATTCAACAACTCAGAAATTGTGCCATAACTTGAAATTTAGTGATTACATGACAAATCTCTTGACAAGAAATTTAATAGGACTAAGCAAACCGATTCTATTAGTCCAACAACGTGTAAAGACTTAGTAGAACCTATTTCATATTGCAAAATAAAACCAGAATTCCTCACAAGGCAGAGTGGTGTTGAAGAGTGAATTTTCAAGCTCATATAAACCTAATTTAGTATATCGATCAAGTAATTAGTTAGTTCGGTTTACAGTTATTTCAAAGAAATGGAGAAAAATAAAATGAAATTCTTCAGAGAATTGAATGTGATGACTACTCATATACCTTCTTTCTTCCTGGGAAAATGTGATTTAAGTATAGGACATTTTTATCGCGTAGCTAACTCATAGAGAAGTAGAACAGAAAAAGAATTTTTGAATTAATATATATATTTTTTAGAATTAATACTGACAAAAATGTAATTATTTTAAACTTGATAAAATGTATTTTCTAAAAGTATATATGTTAAACTTATTTTAGTCTTAGAAGTAAAATGTTGTTGTTTATTTTCATAGAAATAAAAAATAATTTGTCACAAAAGTTTCATATTTAAACGTATAGTCGTTAATTTCAAGAATTTCATGTTTGTCTTGATCTGAATGCGATGACAAAACACGTTGGAGAGAAGTACGGGATGTTTACTCAATTTATTAGCTTGTCAATAATTAAAACATTATGTAGCGCGAAATCCTCACACTTTTTGTCTTATTATATTGTGCATAATATTGTGATTGAAACTTTACACTGCTTTTAGAAATTTTAAGTTGTGACTTAATAAAGTTTTGAAAATAAATCCCATAACAAAATTAATATTCATTTTACCAACAAAAAAGCAAAAATTTACAAAGTCTTTTATCGATCGAAAATATATAAATATAAGTATATACAAGAAATATATAATTTAAAAACGAAAAGAAAGAAAGGAAAGATTTAATAAACTTACTGAAATCTTACTTTATATTAGTTCCACGAGTATATTGCCAACTTTTAAGGGAAATCCAATTTGATGAATCGCGGATAATCTTAACTTTTCCTTATTTAAAGAAGTGACAACTATCAAATTATTTTCTCATAGCGCGGAATTGGCTTACTGAATGCAAATCCCTTTTGAGATACTGGAGATAAATTAGCTTTTATAATACAGTGGTCAATATTACGTGAGATTTGCTCAGTGATATTTAAGTGACCGAGTTGAAAGCTAATGGAATTTCAGACCTCAAAAGAAGAGTGTATTGAATTTGTGAAGATTTTTGAAACTACTGAGCACTAAAAAGCAGCGAGGCTTCCTTTTCAAATTACCTGTTTTCATGTGAGAAATTGTCTTTAAAGAGCATGCTTTGAAGTTTATAGATAAGGCGTTTGAAAGCAATGTATTTAATGACTTCGGAATTCCAAGGCAGTTTTATATCGAGATTGAGGTTTTTCACAATTTTTATATGGTAGAAATATTGTAACAAAAATAAGTCCGAAAAACCTTCCACTCTTAATAAAAAGACAGAGTGATTTATTGGTTTTGGCTAATGGTAGATTTACATTTAAAATTATACTTAAAATAAACTTACAAATATAAGCCAGAATAACAGGTTAATTTTACAGATTAAATTAGTTTTGTACAATAAAATTTATAAAAATGATTTTTTGGTTAAATCAGCATTCATAAAACACTTCTATAACTTGATCAAATACGTATTATTTATCGTAATGGAAATACCTAAATCCAAATTCTTAAGGAAAAGAACTTAAAAAGTACACTTTTGATACAAACTATTTTTGAGGAGATAAACAGACCGCACATAAGCATAGGATAATTTTCATCAAAAAATTATATTTTCATTATGGTATAATAATAAATTTCAATGAAAAATTAAAGATACGACAAAAATGTAAGGTTTGGAAAAGAGATTATTTATTGAAACCAGAAGTAGTATACGATTTCTTAAAATAATATAATTAACATTTATATTTCGTAATAAAAAAGTACTAAATAATATTAAATAATTATTAATAAACAGTGTCATTATCCATTGCATTTTTAATGACCAAACGAATTCAGATTTTCACAAGGCAATAAGTGACAATTTTAAATAGCAAAATTTAATTTAAATTTATTAAGCTAAATATATCCTCTTCAAATATGTAATAAATTTTCAATATTTTTAATTTTTCTCAAATTTTAGTGATGGCACACATTTTTAATTCAAATGAAAGCTTTCAGTAATCGCTTTTCACAGAATTTCCAAATCTAATCCATTTACTCTTTGATTGAGAAATGTCTTAAATGGCCAATTGACTCGCGCGAGCATACTTCAGTTAAATATAAATATCTTAGACTTGAAATATATCTTGACGTTGAATTTGAATGATTACTAACAAATTTGTGATTATTTATATTTTTTTACTGGTTATATTCAAAGCATATCTACACTGAAAACACATTTGCATTGATTGCGAATGAAACATTTTTGAAATAACTCTTTACAAGGCTTTTAAAAGACAGCTTTCAATCTTTAACTGTGTTAATTATTTAATTACATTTAATTACGTTTAAAAACTTGTCTTATTGACCCCCTCCCCTCCCCCAAAAGGATAAATTTCTTTGTTCTGTTAGGAGTATCATAGCTTAGGTTCCTTCAAATGTCAATTTCTACAACATAGGTGTTATATTTTCTCAAAAATAGCTAGATGCGTTATTTCAGAGAGCCTACGAAAATAATTGTGCTAGAAATTGACGTTTCTTATTATAATGAAGCAGTAATCCGGTATTGAGTTCAGAGCACAATCAAAAAAATTATTGTATGAAATTCCAAAATATTGAATATTCGGAAAACTAAATTTATCACAGCAAAACAAGGCCATAACTTTAATAAAAATTTATTTTTGAGTTTAAGGTGGCGCAAATTTTGATTAAGACGATGTTTCACTTTTTAAACTTTGTTTTAAAATCGTTTACTTTTTAATTTTTTATCACAACTTGCCTCTACCTCGGAATGAAAAATGATCATTTTGTATGCGCATTTTTTTAAATTAGACAGGTGGAATCACTCTTACTAAGATTCTAGCCTTAAATTAAGATAGAAGCATCAAATTCTTTCTTTCCACTGCTAAATATATTCTCACCAATGCAACAACCTTCAAAATTCTATTCCTGAACAAAATTAATATCATTAAACAGTAAGTTAAATGAAGAAAAAATGTGCAAGGATCAATGAAATATGTAATACATCAAAGATTTATTCTTTGGATTTCCGGATAGGGTTGGAAAATATTTAATTATTTATTTATTTTAAATGGCGGGCTTTATGATACTTATCATGGGGTGCGCGATAGACTTACCTCCACGTGGTACACCCTGAAAAACGTATCTTCATACGGCAAAAAAGTCTATCACTCGGCATTTTGACTTCTATTTATTATGATTAGCTTAAAAAAAGGCTATAAGAGAAATTGACCTCGTCAGGGCGAATCACAATGTTTTCAGACCCTCCAGTGAAATGCTGGAGGGATGTCACAGGACAAAAAGATCCAATTCCAGAAAATCCTACAAACCTATGATGCAGACATTTTCACAATTATAGAAGCAAACATTTCGGATGACAAACTGAAGTACTACCAATTCCTAGGTTACACCCTGTACCTTCTACCTAAATACCGGCAAGTTGCAAGTGGAATTCTGACTGGAGTATAAAAAGGCCTCACCTCACACTACGATCTAATCAAGAGTATGGGCTCGACACAAGACATATGTGAAATAATCAGATTAAATGTTTGGAAATGTCAAAAACATTTCTAGATATATGCAGTCTATAATCCACCCCAGAAGTGTCCCAACTTTGAATTTCTGTACATCTCACACAAAACTGTAGTATTAGGAGACTTCAACGCTCATTCCACCAGATGAGGCTACAAGGATACAAACATAGCTGGAAAGGAAATCGAAGACATGCAAAACAGCAACCCTCTGGAACTTAGTTACAGCAATGAGGATCCGGCTACATATTTGCACTACAATGGAACCAGAACAACTCCTGACTTACTCCTGGCTTCAAGCAACACCATTGAGCTTACACTCCGCAAAATAATTGACGATCCTGGTTCTGGTCACAAATCTGGGAGCAAAAGCATGACATGGAAAGTGCCTAATACTGTACATTCCCATGGATAAGTTCTTCAGCACCCATGAGTAATCTGGTCTAATACAGAAAGCCATAGAACTGAAAAAAGCATCCACCTATAAGAATAGACCAAGACATCTGAAAACACAATCAAATAAGAAAGCCATAGAACTGAAGAAAGCATTACAAATCGATGATAAAGCCATAGAACTGAAGAAAGCGTTACAAATCGATGATAGACCAAAAAGCCTCTCTCCCCATGAACCCATTAGCAGACCCAAAAAGCCTCTCTCTACCCATGAACCCATTAGCAGACACTTCTCTCCCCATGAACCCATTAGCAGACGTTGATGTAGTGTACTCCCCATGAACCCATTAGCAGACACTGATGTAGTTTGTTTCCCCCTCCAGAGCAAATGCGCTCACTGGCCCTTGAGACAATCAAGGTCGTGAACTATCCTCAGATCAATGGATCCAAGTCTTCACTGATGGGTCATACATGGAAAGAGATCAATGGCTCCAAGTCTTCACTGATGTGTCATACATACCAAACAAACATACCAAGCAAACATTGGTGCAGATGTCTTTCCTGAACTCTTCTCTTTCTACGCAGCAGCGGAACACAATAGATCCGCTTTCGAAGGAGAAATAGAGATCATTAGGATAGCACTATGCCAATTATGTTGCCTGGATATTTTCGGACTCTCAGTCAGCAATAAACTCAATTGGAAATAGAGAGCCACCCAAAACAGCTGAGATAAAGGAATGTAGAAAAATCTATAAGCTGCTGAGAGAGAAAAACAAAACAGTGGTCTACAATGGATTCCTGGTCACTGTGGCATTGAAGGCAATGAGCTTGCTGACACACTTGCTAAGAAGGGTATAACGATTTTGCAATGCATGGACCAGCCAATGTCTTTCCACACAATGAAGGCCTTAATCAGGAGAGAATTCATGACGTCAAGGTGCAACGAACTTAAAGCTCGAACAAAGGAGAAACAGTGGACAGTGGCACTCTCTGACATAGCTGACTGGCCAAGAATCGAAGCCGTTGCTGAGTTTAGACTACGTACCGGACACGATTGCTTGGCAAAACATCTTCACAGATTGGGAGTATACACTCACCCACATGCTCTCTATGTAATCTACAGGAGGAAATGGAGAAGACCCACCTGATTCGATGTCCAACTCTAAAGACATCGCACACCCGGGTTGGAAAATATAAAGTTATAGCAGCGGTTCATTATTCATTACTCAAATGTCACGTTATTTTCTTAGGCTTTCCGCAAGTGAATGTCCAAAATATTCGGCCACCATTGACCAGTGTTATTTTGTTGAAGGGGGTTAGTACTTCTGTCTTCCCTTATTTTTAATTTATGGGTACTATGCTGAATTAACAAAAAAAGAAATATTTCCTTGTAGGGGTATGCGATAGGCTTACCTCTATGTGGTGCACCCTGGGCAACGTATACTCATACGGCAAAAAAGTCGATAAACCAGCAATTGACTTCTGGCTTCTAACTACCATGATCCAACTGTTTGTCATATTCGTCCCCTTCCACAGTACTCATCTTACCTTTTTCTGCCTTTGTGTCTGTCTGACTCTTTTACATCTATTAATCACTATTCTGTCTCTCCTCCTCTCTGTGAAGCCCAATGTCCGATATAGAGCTAATGACAAAAATGACAGTTAAGTTTTGTAAGGCTTTTAAGCATTAAGCATTAGTTCAATATGTTTATTTTCTTTCATTTCGACTCGTGTTGCTATAAAGTTGACTAAAAATGCCAAATTTTAAATTGATGATAGTTTTTGTTCGGATATTTCATCTATAAATTGTTGTGACGAATGGTAGGGACTACACTCGTGTTACGAGAATATGATTCTAAGTTGTTCCTTGCTATCTATAGTCTGCTGTCCCCAATGGTGCCGGCTCTTTCGAACCTGGGTAGATGAAAATGAAGATTGGAATAGAAAAAAATAATGATCAATCTTCTCAGTGTTGAGAAAATTGGCTCGAATTATAAGAAGGACTGCAGTTGGAAGTATTTACAAACATAGTGGCTGATGTTAACTTACCTATTTCATCGTGCTTTGTGAATATGATCAATATCACTTTCCCTGGGAAAATGATTTTGTAATTAATGAACCCGAAATGGCTGATAGGAGTTCTTCGCTAGATTTGTCTGAGTATTTGGCTTGTATTTTATTCGCAATCAAAGTAACTAAAACAAAGATGGAAAATCAAAATTTATGCAGAATGATAGGTTGGATTAGGACATTTAATTAAAATCTCTCTATGAAGCCCGAAGTCAGCTAAAGGGCTAATGAAA